GCTCCCGAGGAGAGCCAGGGTCCAGGACGTCGATTCCCAGGAAGCTGTGCGAAACTTATGGGCAGTGGGGGGGGGGGAAGACAAACACCCAGAAACTGATTGGGAAACTATGGGGGAATTCTGTGTCTTTGTGTCTGCTTCTTTGTGTGTGTGTATGTGTGTGTGTGTGTGTGTGTGTGTGTGTGTGTGTCCCGGGCCCCCTTCACAGGGTTCGAAGCGGGGCCGCCTTCCATCTGTCCCTTGTTCGAACATCCAGCTCTGCGGCGAGTGCGGCAATGCCTCGTGCGGCAATTCGCGGCTTGCTGCAGCACTCTCCCGCCCTGCCTCCGTGCAGCTGCCGGAAGGTCCCCCCACACCCTTTCGGGCGCCTGTCAGGAGGGTAGACAACACACATACACAGTTCATCGTCGATTGCCCAGAAAATATGGGGAACTATGGGAAGTGGGGGGGAAGACGAAAACCCAGAACATATGGGAAAAGATGGGGAACCCTTTTATTTGTGTTTATTTATTTGTGTATCCCAGTGCCCCTTCAGTCTGGGTCGAGAGCAACCTCTGTCTAAGCTTTTGACCCCCCTTTCTGAGTCGAGCGCCACATCTCGACCGGCGCTTAGACGGCAGCCACTTGTGGAAAACCACCTCCCCTCTGGTTTAGAAGCTTTTAAGACGAAGGCGCGCAGCGCTGAGACAATAACCACGTCTTGAAGACCAGCCACCCTTTCTCCGCGTATATATGCAGGAAGCTTTTAGGACGAATGTGCGCGGCGCTCATAAGACGAGTACCACGTTTTGAAAGCCGCCGGTTCTTGATCCGTGTAGCTGCAGGCGGATATGCGCGGCGCGAGGGCAACATATTGCAACCTGGTTGCCCTCCATCCGTGTTGCAGCCGGGGATTATGAACGACTAGGGTGGTAAGCTACATTGTAGAAAAGTATCAAGCGGCATGATTGGGCCCCTCAGCCGACACGCCTTGTGGTGCGACGAGGACGAGCCCATTGTGGTACAGCCCTTTGTGCGCTCAACGCGTCCTCTGTCCACACCCGCTGGAGTTGAGCAACGCTCGTGGACATATCGCGGGGGCTCCCTCGCTACTGTGTTGTTGGTGACCTGCACAGTCAGTGCCGAGGAGGAGGAGGAGGATGAGGAGGAGGAGGATGAGGAGGAGGAGGAGGAGGAGGAGGAGGAAGAGGAGGGAGGAGAGGAGGGATGAGGGAGGAGGAGGTAGGAGGGGGGAGAGGAGGAGGAGGAGGAGGAGGAGGAGGAAGTAGGCAGGAGGAGCGGAGTGAGGAGGAGTAGGATGAGAAGGAGAAGAAGGAGGAGTAGGAGGAGGAGGAGGAGAGGAGGGAGAGAAGGAGGAGGGGGGCGAGGGAGGGAGGGCCCTGCCTGCCAGCGCACTTGACGCGCTAGGCAGGAGTACAGAACAGGCAAGCCATCCCGTGCCCAGCGCCGCGCTCCTGCCCGAGTAGCGCACGCGCTGCCAAGAAGCCCGGAGCGCGTGGCTCGAGATCCCCCCACCTCCTCCTCCTCCTCCTCCTCCTCCTCCTCCTCTTCCTCCCCCCCCCCCCCCCCCCCTCCTCCTCCCTCCTCCTCTCCCCCATTTCTTCCCTCCTCCTCCTCCCTCCTCCTCCTCCTCCTCCTGCCTCCTCCTCTTCCTCCTCCTCCTCCTCCTTCTCCTCCCTCCTCCCGCGAGCAGCACGGTGGCCTCGCGCTCTCCGGAGCGCTCGGCCGACCGCCCGCCCCAGCGGAGCCCGCGGCGGGCTCGGTCAGGAGGGGAAGCAACACAGAGGGCACGACTCCTCGTCGATTCCCCAGAGAACATATGGGAAAAGATGGGAGGTGGGGGGGGGAGACGGAAGCCCAGAAAATGTGGGGAATCCCTCTATTCGTGTCTATTTTTTTGTGTGTCCCGGGGCCCCTTCAGTCTGGGTCTGGAGCAGCCTCTGTCTAAGCTCGGGCGCCGCCGAGGCAAGGAGGCCTACAAGAAGATGTCGCCGTCGGTGGCCCTCTACGAGATGCTCGGCGCTCAGCTGCCCCGGGGCGCGCCCGCGTTGAGGAGCGCCTTGCCTTGAGCCGGGCACGTCCCTCTGCAGGAGGAGAATTCAGAAACAGTCAAAATATAGTCTGGGGACTATTTTTTGAGTACTCTTGAGCATTGGGGAGTATTTTCGGTGTCTCGTTTTTTTCCATTTCACGCTCGCGCTGCGTGCCGGCTCGCGTCTCCAGCGAGCGTGCCGCGCCGCACGCACGCGGTCGGCCTCCCCGTCCGGGGCTCCGGTGCAAGCACGCTGCGAGGTGTGCGTGCTCCAGGAGCAAAGCAGTGACGAAGCGTCCCGGCGTGCCAAGAGGCCCACCAAACAATGTTCTAAGAACCTTTGGTCGTTCCCACGAAATGTTCTTAGAACAGTTCTGTCCGAGACTGTCTTGTTTAAACGCATTGGCCGTATATTCTACGAGCGCTGCTTTTGTTCTTGGAACAATTTGGGGTTCTAAGAACATGTCGTGGTAGGCCTATAGGAATGCCGGGACGGTCGGTCTCTGCTTAAGAAACATGGGCACAGGCACACGTGAACATCGATCTCCAATAGAAAGCATGAGGAAGCCTGGAAAGCAGAGGAGGGAAGCCGAGGATCCAGCACGCGTGGAGCAAGCTGGGGGATCCTGGGGCTCGTGCCTACCTATTTGTGTGTGTGTGTGTGTGCCCCCTGGGTCCCTTCAGTGTCATGGCGCCAAAATCGCAGAGCGGATTTCTTTCGGAAAACAATGGGATGGGCCCAGATTGACCTTGAGAATTTCGCTCCGGATTTCGAAGTGAAGTTCGTGCGGATTTTTTTGTCCCGAAACGAAGGCTGCACAACAAAAATCCACGTGACATTCACTTCGTTTTTCGTTCGCCGTTTCGGGGCTCTGCGTAGACGGAACTCCACGCGAAAGTCCGCTGCAGCACGTCTGCAAGGTCGGTGCAGTCATCAGTGTTGCGTACCTGTGGAGCAATCTGGGGGATCCTGGGACTCGTGTCTACCTGCTTGTGTGTCCCTGGGCCCCTTCAGTGTTGCTGGAGATACCAACAGGCACCGATACCGCTACTCCCCGGACCTCCCCCGAGGTACGTTCTGACCAGGATTTCGAGGCGAATCCGGCGGCGGCGACGAGGGCCTCCCAGGAGGCCGAAAAAGGCGGAAACGGGCGAAGGGCAGAGGTATGGGTACTCCAGATTCCACAATAAAGTGGTGGGGGTCACATTTGGGGGGGGGGGTCTGATTTGAGCTGTCTTGAGGGTTCGGGGGGGGTCTGGACAAATGGCCGCCCTTTCATGGATGGCCTGGGGGGGCCTAAAACTTCTCGTCTGGGAGGGTTGTGACCCCCCTCCCACGGGGGAGGTCTGCAAGGGCTTGTCTTGGAGGGTCCAGACCCCCTCCCTTCTATTTCGAAATCTGGGGTACCTCCTCCCCCCCTCCGAGTGGCGCGTCGGGGCGGCCGAGGTTCGACATGATCGACTCCTCGCCGAAGACCACCGTGGCCGCCGTGAACGGCGCGGCCCTGGGCGGTGGGCTCGAGCTGGCCCTCGCCTGCCACTACCGCCTGGCCTCGCCGAAGGCCGGCGGCCACCCAGGGGGGGGGGGCCAGATCCAGGCGGGTGGGGGAGCGGTTCGCGGCTCGAGGTTCTTCGAGGGGCGCCCCTCCTCTCGTCGGCTCTTCCCCTTCTTCTTCTCCTCCTCCTCCTCCTCCTTCTCCTCCTTCTCCTTTCCTCCTCCTCCTCCTCCTCCTCCTCTTCCTCCTCCTCCTCTTCCTCCTCCTCCTCCTCCTCCTTGGGGCCCGCGGGGGGGGGCGGCGACGGCCTTGCTCCATGGATCTCTAGGCTGAAGTCGGGCCTGTCCCTCCACGGGAGGAGTAGCCGAAAATATTGAAAGGATAGTATTGGGACGATGTTTCGATTATTCTTGAGCATCTTGGAATATTTGTTGTTTTTGTTTGAATTTTTCCTGCCAAATCCGCCAGTCAAAGAAGAAACAACGCCATAAACATAAGCTTTTGGCGCGCAGGGCGCCAACAGTTTATGTTTGTGGCGTTTTTATCTGCTACTATCCATGGATCTCTAATCTCTAGGCCTCCCAGACAGGGTCGGCGTAGATGGGGTCGGAGGCTCGTGCCGCATCGCCGATGCATCGCCGATGCGGCTCGATGTGGAGCCCACTCTCCTCTACGTTGACGTCGCCGATGCGTCGCCCATGTCGACGATGCACAGCCTGAGCATCCGCCGGTGCACCGCCTGTGCATCGCCGATGTATCGGCGATGCGGAGCGACCCTCCGCCGACCCCATCTACTCGGGACCCATCGGGGAGGCCTCTGGGATCGGGGCGACCGACACGGGCACGGAAAGGACGGAGACGAAGGCCAGTCGCAGCCGCGGTCGCCAGCACGCAGTCGCAGTCGCAGCCAGCACGAGTCCTACTGCGAAGGCCTTACGGCCGGTGCCGGCGACCCTGAAGACGACGAAGATGAAAACGAGCGCGGGGGGGTGGCAGGTGGAGGAGGAGGAGGAGGAGGAGTGGGGGGGGGGGGAAGAGGAAGGCTGGAGGAGGCGGATGAGGGAGGAGGAGGGGAGTGGGGGAGGATCAGGAGGAGCAGCAGCAGCAGTTTGTCAAGCGGTGGCAGTGCACGTCGGAATATCCTCCAGGAGGCCATGGCCTCCTCCCCCACCCGGTGTCAGTGTCCAGGCGCCCAGGCGGCGGTCCGCGGAGAGGTGGCTTGATCGCTCCCGTGCCTTTGGAGCAGGGGCCGCGGTCGGCGCCCGCGTTGTCCACTGGTGTCCAGGCCTCCAAGATGGGGTCCTCCTCCTCCTCCTCCTCCTCCTCCTCCTCCTCCTGCTCCCCCTCCTCCTCCTGCTCCCCCTCCCCCTGCCCCTCCTTGCCCGCGAGTCCAGGCCTCCTAGATTTAAATCGGGCCTGTCCCTCTACAGGGGGAATTTTGAAAAATTCGCAAAAAATAGTCAGGGGACGATTTTCCGACTATTTTTGATCATTTGGGGGGTATTTTTAGAGTATTTTATTGTTTTTCTGCCAAAATCTCCCTCTAGGGGGACACGCCCGACCTAATCCTAGATGGGGTCGGAGTGGACGGGGTCGGAGAATCGCGCCGCATCGCCGATGCATCGGCGGTGCATCGGCGGTGCGGCTCGACGTGGGGCCCATTGTTTCTTCTTCTTCACGCCGACGTCGCGGATGTATCGCCGACGTCGCCGGTGCATGGCCGATGCATCTGCGATGCATCGCCGATGTATCGGCGATGTGGCGAGATCCTCCAACGCCATCTATGCGGATCCCATCTAGGAGGCCTCTACTGAGACACAAGCTCTCCTTGTCAACAGCGGCCGCTGTCGATTTTGGACACCACGTGCGGAAGGGCGCGCCTCGGCGGCTGGATCTGCGGGGTCGCCGCCGCCCTCCTCCTCCTCCTCTTTTTTGTGTGTCTCTCTCCTTCTCCTCCTTCATTTTCTCCCTCCTCCTCCTCCTCCTCCTCCTCCTTCTCCCTTTTCTCCTTCCTTCTCCTCTTTTTTCTCCCTCCACCTCCTTCTCCTTCTCCTCCCCCTCCCCCTCCTTCTCCTCCTCCTCCTGCTTCTCCCCCTCCTCCTCTCCTCTTTCTCCTTCTCCTGCTCCTCCCCCTCCTCCCCGGCCTCTTCCTCCTGCCCCTCCTGCTCCTTCTCCTCCTCATCGTCGTCCTCCTCCTCCTCCTCCTCCTCCTTCTGCTCCTCCTGCTCCTCCTGCTCCTCCCCCCTCTCTCCTCCTCCTCCTTCTCCTCCTCCCCCTCCTCCTCCTCCTCCTCCTCCTCCTCCTCCTCCTCCTCGTGCTCCTCCGCCTCCTCGTGCTCCTCCTGACCCTCCTGCTCCTTCTCCTCCTCCTCCTCCTCCTCCTCCTCCTCCTCCTTCTCCACCTGCTCCTCCTCCTTCTCCCCTCGATGTCGTTCCCTGGCAGCATCGGCCAATTGTTTTCACACCATCTGAGCGACGCAAAGAAGCGGGTCCGACTGCGCCGACATTCGCGCGTACGCTGCTCGCGTAAGGTCGCGCGTAAGCGCCCTCGTCTCCACTTCAGCGTGCCGCGCTGGCGGCTCGCGTGAGCCGCCGCGTGAGGTTGCTACGTTATCTCGCGTAAGTCTCGTTTCCGATCGTCGCTCAGGTGTGCGTCGGCTTCTTAGTTGCGACGCGCTCGCGCGCCCCGAAATCTTTCAGCAAGTGGCGGGCGCTTGCTGGCCATGCCGCCCGGATAACGATACACTAAAGAGTTCGGTTCGGACGTTGGTCTCCGAGGGGGGGACATCGTGCTAGTATGTCCTTCTGCGTGCAATCGCAGGCGCCGTTTCTTGGGGCCCCGTGCTCATCAGAACTGGATCTGGGACGCAAAGCGGCCTCGCGGGGTCGGGACCTCCCGCGGACCGAGCGGCACAGGGTGGCCCTTCGCGGGAAGGGCCTCTGGTACACAGCTTCGGTGGCGGAAGTGAGCCCAAGCACGCAAGCCGCTATTGTCGTATCGCTTGCAACGATCAGCGAGCCGCGCACCAAAGGCATTGCTGCCTGGGGTCTAGAGCCAGTTCAGTGCGTCGACGAGGCAGGAAGACCATGGACAACTTCCCCCACGAAGAAAAGAGGGCCTGAGGAAAAGGGGTCCAGATTGTCTTCTCTGTTTTCGGCCTGGCCCGAGGCCTTTTACGGGCCCCAGGAGGCCGCAAACAAGATATTCAGGACCAGAAGTTGGGCCTGGCGGATGCCCTTGCCCCATTCATGCTAGTTTTGTTTGTTGCTCACGCAGTCCCCAGAAGTCCCGGTCCTTTCCCCAGGTCCAGTTTTTCATCCCGAGTCGTTTTGTTGACGCTTCTGGGGTCCTCTGGGTGCCGAAAACGGCAAACAACCCCAGACTGGCCTCCACAGAGTTTAGGTCTGCAGCACAGTCGCACTGCGCTGCCAATCTGTTTTCCTGAAATCTGTGAGCCAATCGTGCGCTTCTCGACTCCCTGCGGATGCGCCGTTTGCCCGGCGCCTGGCTCCACGGACTGACTCGAGCAGATCTGAGGCCAGGGCCCGGGACCCGTCTTCCTCGGGGCCGTCTTCCCCCCATGCCCGAGCATCTTGCCACCACGCGCGTTTTGCCGGAGGCCTGCGCCCCATCGAGAATCAGATAGTCCCTGACCCTGCCAACACGATCAAGACGTGGCCTTGACTCAGGCCCCCGACGTTGCATCAGGGATCATCCATCTGGGCAGTGTGGCCTGCTGCATCTACTATCTACTGCAAAGACCCCCTTATCCCTGATGTTCTGGGCCTCCGCACTTGGGTCCGCCCCCACAGGGTTAAAGGGTCCTCAACTTGCTGATCGTGCGCCCCGGCACCGCCACCAGCTCGGCATCACCCACACGTGGTTACACTATGTGCGCGTCGGCCCCCCCAAAGGCTACGCGCGCGCGCGGACATCCCAAAGGTTCACGCTCGTTGTCGGGCGCTTTCCGGCCATCCCGCCCGAGTAACGATCTACCATCGGATGCTTGTGCTACGTGTTCGCTTCGGCCGTGGGTCTCCCAGAGGGGGCACAGTGCTAGCATGTCCTTCTGCGTCCCATCCGCGGGGGGAAGATGGCCCCCCAGTCTCCCGGTGGTGGCGGGGAATGCTTCGGCCACCCCGGGGCCCAAGTTCAGGGGGGCAGCGATCGGGCGGGATAAAAGGGGAGGTTTTCGGGCGTGTTCGTCGACTGTCGGCTGATCTCGAGCCTCGGGGTGCTCTCTAGCAGCCGCGCCTCGCCGACAACGTCCCGGGGGCTGGCGGGGTCGTCCCGGACGGCCGCCAGAGACCCGCGTTAGGGCCTGAAGACCATGGGGCAACGTCGGGGTGGGATAGGCTTAAGTCGAGCATGCCCCCCTACAGGAGGAATGCTCAAAACCAGTTAACGAATGGTCAGGGGGCGACGCTTGGACTACTTCTGAGGTCATCTTTGAGCCTTGTTGGATTCTTTCCTCTCTTAGGCCCAAGTCCGCCCGTAGGAGGACATACCCGACCTAAAAGGACAGGCTCGGGGGGAGAACGCATCGACCCCCCATCGCCCAGTCATCGCCGACGGCCCGCCCGGGAGCGTGCAGCAGTTGCGCGCCCGGGGGGCCTCTGTCCGATCTGCCCGGCGGCGCGTCGCCGCTTCCAGCTCGAGGGTTGCCCCCCGGGAGCGGTGGTGGGTGGTGGTGGTTTTGCACTCCCCTTGTGCGGGTCGCGTGTGGCGGTTCCCCCCGCCCCTCCACCCCTAATTCGGTGCACGCGCGCCTGAGCTGGGCACGGCGCCGCCGAAGGCGCTTGACCGCTCGCTCTGCGCGCGCCTCGGACGAAACAACCATCTTGTTGTTGTTGCTGCGGATGATGATGATGATGATGATGATGATGATGATGATGATGATGATGATGATGATGATGATGATGATGATGATGATGATGATGATGATGGTGATGATGATGCTGATGCTGATGATGATGATGATGAGGAGGAGGATGAGGAGGATGAGGATGAGGATGATGATGATGATGGTGATGGTGGTTGTGATGGTGGTGATGATGAGGATGCTGTTGATGATGGTGGTGATGATAGTGATGATGATGACGACGATGATGACGGCGAGGAGGATTATGATGATGCTGATGAGGAGGCGGGGGAGGAGGAGGAGGAGGAGGAGGAGGAGGAGGAGGAGGAGGAGGAGGAGGAGGAGGAGGAGGAGGAACAGAGTAGACCCAAGATGCATCAGCGGTTCGCAATGCTCCTTTCTGTCCCATGTTGCCCTATCGTCGCCCCTCGCAAGCATTATCGCTGACAAGATCGCCTGTCGGCCTCCTCGATGGTGCGGGCCACCGGTGTTGGTGGTGGCCGGGCGTTGGCCGCGCATAGTGAGAGAGAGAGAGAGAGAGAGAGAAAGAGAGAGAGAAAGAGAGAGAGAGAGAGAGAGAAAGAGAAAGAGAGAAAGAGAGAGAGAGTTCGAAATGTGTGGCGCCCAGCGGTTCGATCAGACCTGCGGTAGAGGGAGACAATCAGTGGACACTCCCCCGCTCCCCCAAACTCAAAGTTGGCACGCGCGGGGAAGACTGCACCTTGCCCTCGCACCTTGCCCCTTCGGTCCATCCTTGGTGACTTTCGTTGACCAGCCCCGTTCGAAAACGCCAACGTGGCCCTCCAAGGCGCTTGCCTCCTTACCGCGCATCCTTATTTTGCGACTTGGCTGTGCTCCCCAGGTCCCCCTAATTAGCGACGCAGAAAAAAATATGTTCGACTGCGCGGGCGTTCTCGCGTAAGTTGCTCTCGCAAGGTCGCGCGTGAGCGTTCCCTTTTCCAGTGCAGCGTGCAGCGCTGGAAACCCGCGTAACCCACCGCGTGAGGTCGCTATGCCATCGTGCGTGAGACGCGTTTCTTTCGTCTCCCAAATGGGGCCAGAGCAGGTGGGGTCGGGAGGCTCCGCGTCGCTGGTGTATTGGCGATGCGGCTCGATCTGGAGTCTGATTTTCTCCTCGTTGACGATGCCGATGCATCGCCGGTGCATCGTCGATGTGCCAGCGGTGCGGCGCGATCCCCCGGCTCCATCTACTCGGACCCCAAGCGGGAGCCCTTCAGCTTTCGGGGGTTGCAGTAGCCTTAAGTCAGGCCTGTCCCTCTACAGAACAAATATTCCCAATAATCTGCGTGTAAGGGGGACATGCCCGACCTAACGATAGCCTGAAGGGTCTAAGGGTGTGGCTGCTGTGGTCCAGGGGAGTGCAGTCGGCACCGGGGCCACGAGCAGCCCCAGCTCAAGGAGGGGTACCTACTTGTCTCTGACACTGGCACACATCTGGGGAATTGTTTCGGGATGGGTATCCAATACGTCGTATACATGGAATTATCCCAATGCGACCCTACCTAGGAGTTGGAGCATATAGGACAGCAACATCTACATATACACCGACAACTATGCTGCGCTATGCTATGCTATGCTATGCTATGCTGCGCTGCGCTATGCTATGCTACACATGCTATGCTATGCTGTGCTAATGCTGCGCTGCGCTATGCTGCGCTGCGCTAAGCTAAGGTAAGGTAAGGTAAGCTAAGCTATGCTAAACTAAGCTCAGCTAAGCTAGGCTAGGCTAGGCTAAGCTAAGCTAGACTAAGCTAAACCAAGCCCAGCCAAGCTAAGCTAAGCTGAGCTAAACTAAGCTGAGATAAGCTAAACTAAGCACAACTAAACTATGCTAATCTAAGCTAAGCTCGGCTAGGCAAAGCTAAGCTAAGCTAAGCTAAGCTAAGCTAACATGAGATAAGCTAAGCTAAGCACAGCTAATATGATATATGTTAAGCTAAGCGAAGCTAAGCTGAACTGGGCTAAGCTTAGCTAAGTTAAGCTGGGCTAAGCTAAGGGAGCGTCACTGGGGGAACCGCGGGGCGGATGCCGGGGGAACCGCCCAGGGCGGGGAACACTGCCCGGCCCTTTAAGCTTACCGAGTAAGAACCCTTCTAGGCAGAGCCTAGGTAGGGAATGATACTCATACTAATAATAAACATAATAACCAACGCTAAGCTAAGGGGACGTAACTGGGGGAACCGCGGGGCGGATACTGGGGAACCCGCCCGGGGCTCGTTCCACTGCCCGGCCCTTCAAGCACACCGAGTAAGAACCCTTCTAGGCAGAGCCTAGGTCGGGAAATATTGTAGTCATGTAAGAGGCGCTTTCTCCTGATATTGAAGCTCCCAGGTGCTAGTCGGACGGTGCTGGCAGCAGGACCAATCCGCTCCAGAGCGTTCCGGCACGCCCTCAGTCGTTCCGGAACGCTCCGAGAAGGTCGCGGCGCCCGAGACATCTTTCAGATACGCTGGATCTCAGAGATTCGCGATGTATATCCGCACCCGAATTCGTCCTCGTCCTGGCTTCGTCTTACAGAATGCTCTTCGTGCCTGAACTCTTGAGGGCTCCTCAGGGATCCTTATGAACCCCTGGGGATTCTCAGGAATCTTTTAGGGATCCGTAGGAAGCAATAGGAAGCCATCGGACCCCGCCATGTTTATGCAGTTGTTCTTCTTCTATGATCGGCTTGATGCCCCTCAATCAGGCTAAATCCCCCGCTCAATCTGGCCTGACCTGGCCTGATCCGGTCCTTGATCGGGCTCTTATGTCTCTTGCAGAGACCTCACAGGTGTTGCCTCTTCGTTCTCGCGCAAGGCCGCCGCGTGGTCGTGCATCAGGCCCCGCTCTCTTCGACGCAGTGCGCTGCCCGGACGGAGGCCCCGACCCAATCCTCGGGGCCAGTTTCTCGCCACGGCTCCGCCTTTGAGGGCCCCAGGGCCCGCCAGCGGAACCCCGTCAGACGCACCCGAGATCCCGGTCAGTCCGCACGCGCGTTCCGCAAACTGGAGGGGCGGCTTTGCGAGTTGTCCCGCATGGAGGAGAGCAGGAGCAGGCGCAGAGGAAGAGAGGCGGCCGCGGGAGGGGGGAATCTGGAACGGGGGGGGGGGGCGACTCGTCGGAGGAGCAGCCCAGGGCTGCAGGATGAACAGCACCACCGTCGGAGATCCGGGGGGTCCCCTCCTTGCCCTCCACCCCCTCCTCCTCCTCCTCCTCCTCCTCCTCCTCCTCCTCCTCCTCCTCCTCCTCCTCCTCCTCCTCCTCCTCCTCCTCCTCCTCCTCCTCCCTCCTCCCCTTTGGCGCCAGGCCTCCGTGGGCTTCCCGGAGGTCAACCTGGGCCTCCTGCCCGGCGGGCAGGGCACGCAGCGCATACCCCGCGTGGCGCCCCTGCCCGTGGCCATCCAGCTGTGCACCGCGCTCGGCCGGGGGGGCCTCGGCCAGCGGTCTTCGGGCTGCGGTCCTAGATCAGGCGATCGCAAGCATGGATCAAGGAGGCGTACAATTCGCGTTGAGTCGGGCGTGTCCCTCTACGGTACAGGGGGAGTGTTCAAAAATAGTTTAAAAAGATAGTGTGGGGACGATCTGTTTACTACTTTTGATCATTTGAGGGGTATCTGTCGAGTATTGCTAATTTTGCATTCAAAATCCGCCTGTAGGAGGACATGCGCGGCCTAAGATTAGCGACGGCTCCCGCTTCCACGGGAAATCGCGCATTTCCGCCCCCGAACGAGGCGGCACCGGCCACACTTTGGGCAGGGCACCTCCCCCGATCCATGGTTCTGGCGACCGCGCGCCAAATCCATGGATCGGTGATCCGTGCTTGCGCGCCCCCGATTAGAGCTGGGGTTAGGGTTAAGTCGGGCCTGTCACTCTACAGGGGGAATATTCAAAAATAGTAAAAAAATACCCTGCGACGTACCCAACCCATGTGCATCAGGTGGCAAGGAGTAGGGCAACATTAGCAGGAACAACGACAGTGTAGACGCAGTGAATTGCTGCGCAAACTACATGGGATGCGCATGCGTTGCACGACTCACAGGACGACGATCGAAAGAACGAGGATTGAGGATAACGGGGGCAGGAACGAGGGGCAGGAGAAGGATGGAATGGTGGGTCATCTGAATCTGCGTATGACCCCACTCCGCTGGGCCCCCCAGCAGCCCTCGAAAGTGGCGACAGTTTCACAGATCGCAGCCCCCCAGGGATGGCGAGGTCGAATCTGAATCTGCGTATGACGTCACTCCGCTGGGCCCCCCAGCAGCCCTCGAAAGTGGTGTCAGTTTCGCAGATCGCAGCCCCCCAGGGATGGCGAAGTCTAATCTGAGTCTGCGTAAGGCCCCACTCCGCTGGGCCCTCGAAAGTGGTGACAGTTTCGCAGATCGCAGTCCCCCAGGGATGGCGAGGTCTAATCTGAATCTGCGTGGGGCGTCACTCCGATGGCCACCCCAGCAGCCCTCGAAAGTGGTGACAGTTGCGCAGGTCGCAGCCCCCCAAGGATGGCGAGGTCGAATCTTAATCTGCGTATGACCCCACTCCGCTGGGCCCCCCAGCAGCCCCCGAAAGTGGCGACAGTTTCGCCGATCGCAGCCCCCCAGGGATGGCGAGGTCTAATCTGAGTCTGCGTAGGGCGTCACTCCGCTGGACCCCCCAGCAGCCCTCGAACGTGGCGACAGTTTCGCCGATCGCAGCCCCCCAGGGATGGCGAGGTCTAATCTGAGCCTGCGTGGGGCGTCACTCCGATGGCCCCCCAGCAGCCCTCGAAAGCGGCGACAGTTTCACAGATCGCAGCCCCCCAGGGATGGCGAGGTCTAATCTGAGTCTGCGTAGGGCGTCACTCCGCTGGCCACCCCAGCAGCCCTCGAAAGTGGCGACAGTTTCGTAGATCGCAGCCCCCCACGGATGGCGAGGTCTAATCTGAGTCTGCGTAGGGCATCACTCCGCTGGCCATCCCAGCAGCCTTCGAAAGTGGCGACAGTTTCACAGATCGCAGCCCCCCACGGATGGCGAGGTCTAATCTGAGTCTGCGTAGGGCGTCACTCTGCTGGACCCCCCAGCAGCCTTCGAAAGTGGCGACAGTTTCACAGATCGCAGCCCCCCAGGGATGGCGAGGTCTAATCTGAGTCTGCGTAGGGCGTCACTCCGCCGGACCCCCCAGCAGCCTTCGACAATGGTGACAGTTTCACAGGTCGCAGCCCCCCAGGGATGACGAGGTCTAATCTGAGTCTGCGTAGGGCGTCACTCCGCTGGCCACCCCAGCTGCCTTCGAAAGTGGCGACAGTTTCACAGATCGCAGCCCCCCAGGGATGGCGAGGTCTAATCTGAGTCTGCGTGAGGCGTCACTCCGCTGGGTCCCCCAGCAGCCCTCGAAAGTGGCGACAGTTTCACAGGTCGCAGCCCCCCAGGGATGACGAGGTCTAATCTGAGTCAGCGTAGGGCGTCACTCTGCTGGACCCCCCAGCAGCCTTCGAAAGTGGCGACAGATTCACAGATCGCAGCCTCCCAGGGATGGCGAGGTCTAATCTGAGTCTGCGTAGGGCGTCACTCCGCTGGACCCCCCAGCAGACCTCGAAAGAGGCGACAGTTTCACATATCGCAGCCCCTCCAGGGATGGTGAGGTCTGATCTGAATCATCGTAAGGCCCCACTCCGCTGGCCCCCCCAGCCGCCCTCGAACGTGGCGACAGGTTCGCAGATCGCAGCCCTCCAGGGATGGTGAGGTCTAATCTGAATCTGCGTAAGGCCCCACCCAGTGAACCCCCCAGCAGCCCTCGCACGTGGCGACTGTTTCGCAGATCGCAGCCTTCCAGGGATGGTGAAGTCTAATCTTAATCTGCGTAAGGCCCCACCCCGCTGGACCCCGAAAGCGACCGTAGCTGCCAAGATGTTCGGGTTGACCACAATGCCAACTGCGGCATATGTACGCGCATCCACATTCAAGCGGCCAGACATACTTATCTTAGCACCACCTTTCATATAGTATTCTGCTCCGTGCACATGGGTTTCTTGAATACAAAGAACATCGAGGCTACGTTCAACCATGTTCTGGATGAGCTCGTCTACCTTGACTGCAGAGTCCCCGCGGAGGCCTTCCACGTTCCACGTACCATTTCGCTCAATCCGACAAGGCGCGTATAGCTGGCGGCGCGTACGCCAATCCAGCGACGAAGAGAAAATCGATCTCGAAGGTGGCGTGGGTAGATCTGTTGGGGAACAGGTATCTTTGTCCTCTCCCACAGACGCCGTGACGGAGGTAGCGAAAGAAGTCGTAGGTACCCTTTGCCCTCCACCCAAAGAAAATGCTCGGGAACTGGGCGCTAAGGCATCATGGGCAAGCCCATGAAGGTAGACCAGGCGAAGAAGAACGGCATCGTGGACGCGATAGCGCAGGGCGACGACATCGTCGGCGAGGCGGCGGCGCTCGCGCTGGGCAGGCAGCCGAGCCCCGTGTCGCAGCGCGAGGTGCCCTTCGAGAACAAGATGATGGCCGTGGGCGGTGCGCTGGATCAGGCCTCCTCCTCCGCCTCCTCAGTGTTCCTCCCTCCTCCTCCTCCTCCTCCTCCTCCTCCTCCTCCTCGCGGCCTACTCTCTCTCCCGAGGAGGAGGAGGTGGAGGAGGAGGAGGAGGAGGAGGAGGAGGAGGAGGAGGGTTAAGGACAACCCTGGTTGCGGCGTCGTACCCTCGCGTTCTTCGTGCTCGGGCTCTCCACCTTGGAGCGCTCATCGTTCGGGGTCTGCCCCTGGAGCATCGGGCTCGTGGCGGCGGGGTTCGTGTCCTCGACCCGCGTTCCCATGGTCATGTCTCGGCGTTGCCACGGATGGCGGGGCAGGAGGAGGGGACCTCGGCGGCATCGCTCGGGCGTGTGCATTTTCTCTCGGCGAGAACCATCGAGAAGCATCCTGGATCACCGAGCGAAGAAATACACGCACGAAGCCGAAACATGCACGGGGAATGGACGTCCGAGCGATGGCGAGGGACGTCTCCAACGAGGAGCAACATGTGCCAGACCACAGTTGAGACGTTGTTTATCTTTGGTGACCTCCTCCTCCTCCTCCTTCTCCTCTCCTCTCCTCTTCTCTCCTCCTTCTCCTCCTTCTCCCCCTCCTCCTCCTCTTCCCCTCCCCCTCCTCCTCCTCCTCCTCCTCCTCCTCCTCCTCCTCCTCCTCCTCCCCGCTTCGTGGAGGCATCGTGGGCCGTCTTGGGACGATCTTGGGGGCCACTTGGGCCGTCGTGTTCGCTGTGAGGAGTGAAGTGCGAATGTGCTGACAATGTACGTTTTCCCAATGGAGAAGGATGAATTTGGCCTCTTAGGGCGCTCTCGGCGATCCTCTGGAGGCGCTTTTGGGTTGTCTTGGGGTCCTTCTTGGCCATCTTGCAGCCATCTTGGATCGTCGTTGGGCTACCCTGGACCATCATCACAGCGCTCTCCTCGATTGTCTTGGCGCTGTATGGGCCCTGTTGGGCTGTCTTGGGGCTTTTTGGAGGCTTTGGAGGCTCCGGAGGCCCCGTGGGTGCGTGGACGAGCTCGTCCCCCCTCCCCTCCGCCCCCCCTCTCCCCGCGTCCCCCTCCCTCCCTACTGGAAAGGCATTTTGGGCCCCAGGGGAGGGGGAAAGGGGGATGGGGGACAGCCGAATGTCTCACACGCCTTTTCACCCCTGGCAAGCGGGGGTCGGCGGATCTTTCTCCAACTCCTCCTCCTCCTCCTCCTCCTCCTCCTCCTTCCCCTCCTCCCCCTCCTCCCCCTCGTCCTCCCTCCTCCTCCTCCTCCTCCTCCTCCTCCTCCTCCTCCTCCTCCTCCTCTTAAGGTGCATGTGGTGCTGGCCGGAACATCCGTCGGCTGCCGATCCGCGCCACGCGAGCCTTCGGCCACACCTAGGGCCGCGGAGGGGCTCCACCAGCCCCGCGCGAGCCCCGCCCATCGTCGCCCCGAGAGCTGCCGGCGTGGAACGTCTCTTCCCGTGCGAAATGTCAGGAAAAGGAGGCGGAAGAGGAGGAGGAGGAGGAGGAGGAGGAGGAGGAGGCAAGAGGAGGAGGAAGAGGAGGAGGAAGAGGAGAAGGAGGAGGAGGAGGAGGAAGAGGAGGAGGAGGAGGAGGATGAGGAGGAGAGGCGGAATGCGCTGCACCCATGGCAAGAAACACCCTGCTTGCCTCCAGGGTGCCCTGGGTTTCTTGGGATTCTATGGTTTTGCAATGGAAAGCTTGACGCTCCCACACCAACAATCAATGGACGTCCCGTAGTCTCAGAGTTGGGTTTCTTGTGGAAAGTTTTTGGTGGTCGGGCTTTCGCTGTACCGCTAATTACTGTCTCTCGGTTTTCGCCTTTTTTGGCCTCCTAGGAGGCCCTCGCTGCCACCGCTGACTTCGTCTCGAAGTTCTGGTCAGAACGCACCCTGGGAGAGGTCCGGGGAGTAGCGGTATCGGTACCTTTTGATTTTCCCAGAACTGAGTCTCACATCTACGAGCGCCGATGCTCGATCGCAGATCGACACGTCCAGATCCTTGAACGCGGTCCTCGATCTGCGACGTTTTTTTTTTTTTTGTTTTTTTTTGTTTTTGTTGTTTTTGTTGTTTTTGTTTTTGTTTTGATTCGAACACAAAAATGGTAGAAACACATGTTTGACATTTACGTTTTTATTGTTTCTCCGAAGTTTATAGTTTCCGACAGTTTTCAGTTGTCATGTTGTTGTCTTCGCGCGATGTTTGAGATATGCGTTCTTCGTTTTTTTTTTTTTTTTTTTTGTTTTTTTTTTTTTTTTTTGTTTTTTTTTCCAATTTGGGTAATTTATTTTTTGCACATAATGATATTAGTCACAATTTCTGTTCAATCCGATTTAAGGTTCGCCGTGTTCAAGGGTTTTGATAGCATTGGATCAATTTCAATATTGTTTTTATGTTGCTAGACTATTCTAGTGTTCTAGCGGTTGCGTAACCAAATGGCTTCATATACTGAATATTATCATCGTGGCGACTGAAACTGCATTCGAAATGTGGAAAGAACCAAGGAAATGGCTTCATTTAATTGCATGCTTTCAAACGAAGCTGATGCGGACTCAAATGTAGACGTGCACCCTTCACAAAGGCATGAAACTGACAATTACCGTCACCTGGAATTTCGATTCTCTGTAAATTGTGTTTCCGCAGACCCGCATTAAGAATGCGTAGCGCGCCTGCAGGTTTCTGCTGATGCTGATAATATTCCATCAAACTGGCTTGCTCTGCACGGTCCAACTGATCATCAAAAGCCGTATCATTTGATGATGTTTTAAACGCATCTTTGAGTAATTGGAAATACTATATTAATTTTGATCTTTTCTTGCCTTGCACCATCTCCGTCTGCTATTTACAAACAATTGATCCCGGCTTACGTTCCCGTCTGCAGCGATCTTTCTTACCGAAAATTTCTTTTCCGAATCTTTATTTCCACGCTCCCATAGCATTGTGTAATAAAACTTGATGTGGTGCAGCAGCGCAGAAAGGAACATCTTCATCAATCCGCCACGCACTTGAACATGTCTGGGTTTGTGAAGATGTGTTCTCTATAGGAGCCTCACGAGCAGGAGGACGCAACATTTCTTTCAATTCCATTGATGCCTTCGCCTTTGCTTTCGGCCGTTTCCTATTCTCCAGTCTGGAATTTGAAAGTCCCACAGGAAGACGGTCAACACAATGCTTGGTCTCGAATATTCAAAATGGCCTGCCCCTGCACATAATGGCGATGAACACCTCTGTAGGTTCCCTCTCTTGTTACATAAACGTACGTATAAGAATTATGTAACAAAATGTGCCGTAATACATCGTACGCACCCTCATTTGGATTGCTCCGACCATCTAATGGTGTTTCTGCTTGTGCCAATTTCAACATTGCTTCCGTATCACGGGGATGTTCATAAGCACGATTCAATGGGTATGTCGGCATTATGTACACGTACTCTGCTGTCTCGCCCGTCGATAATCTCACGGAAGATGGTAGCATCAAATTTGTATTCTCTGCGCCATGTTCCCGGTAATGCTTGAGAATCGTTGAAACATCTAAACGTATAAGCTTCGACGATGAATCTTCTGAAACTGCGTCGTGTACTTCATCCCGACTAGAAAGCTTTCTTGTGGCACTTCCATAAACCTGACCATGACTCTACAAGTTGATCGACTAGATTATCACACCGACGCTTAACACTACGAGCGGACATGCTTTCGCATACTTGTGCCATGAGCCCCGCAGGCCGCCTGACAATTCTCAACTCCATTGCAAGATGACGGCGCTAACACATGCACGTACATATCGATATCCCGAATCTAGTTCTTGACCATAATGTAATGTCAAGTCATGTGAACGAATTTGGGTCGCCATAAATCTTGAATAGACTACGTTTTTTACCCCTCTCTCCCTTCGCCTTCTTTTGATTGGCTTTTCTTTGGGAAGGTTCGAACTTTCCAGAGCAATTATACCGAGATCGTAAGCAATTGCACTGCTCGAGCCAACTCCAGGTCTGCATGAATCTTCTAGAGCAGGAAACGAGCCTTCTTCCAGATGAGTCTGATTGAACGACGAGACTGCCTGTAATTGAATGCGAGCGCCCTGCAGAGGTGGACGACGCCACCATACAACTCCATCCCCGGCAATGAAGAACATAATAATCAACATCATTTCGAGCTGTACCCTCTCCAACGGAGCGGACCGAAGGTACAACTGGGAATTGTGAATATTCACAAACAAATCGCAGATTCTCGATGCACGTCGCAGATCGCAGATCGCCTCGTTCAGATTTTCGATGCTCGAACGCCCAGAGCCTCGATCCTTGAGCGCCGGAGCTTGATCAGGCGCTCGTCATGGCGGACAAGGCTGCGCCCGGGATGGTGGCGCCCAAGGCCATCGTGGAGTGCTTGCGGGCTGCATGCTCCAACAAGTACAGCTTCAGGGACGGGCTCAAGGCCAGAGGAGGAGCAGATACCGACACTCGAAGAACAAGACACGGCAGAAACATGAATTTTCTGAGCTCCGCGTGGCTTTCTCGGGTCGGCGCTGGGGCCCTCCTGGCGGCGACTCATGCGCCGCCCCTGGTCCGCGCGCCAGGCAGGGGGGCTACAGCGCCTATTCGAGGAATTTTTCATGCAGTTTTTCTCCTTCCAGATACAGTGGGGGCCCATGCCAAGAAACACCCTGCTCCCCTCCAGGGTGCCCTGGGTTCCTTGGGTCTTGATTGTTTTGCCATGGAAAGCTCGGAGGGCACCAACTATACACCAACACGGATCCTGGCCCAGGATCACCCTGGGCCCAGGATCGGTGTATATGCCTTCTTGCGCAAGGCAGGAGGGCGTATACACCGATCCTGGGCCCAGGGTGATCCTGGCCAGGATCGGTGTTGGTGTGTAGTTGGTGCCTTCCTAAAAGCGTGACGTTCCCACACCAAACATTCAATGGACGTCCTGGGGTCTCAGGGTGGGGCTTCTTGTGGAAGGTTTCTTGTGGTCGGGCCTCCACTGCACCGCTGCGCGTCCCGCGTCGCCCCTCGCCGCCACGGCTGGATTCCCCTCGGAGCCCCGGCCAGACCGCGCCCCGGGGGAGAGGTCCAGGGCGTAGCGCTGAGTCGGGCATGCCCCCCCCACAGGAGGCATGCCGAAGAGAAGTGCCATAATGGTTTTGGGAGGACCGAGTGCTCTTTTGATTTGTTGTTGGATTATGTTTCGATTCCTCACTTATCTCTCAAAATCCGCTTGTAGGAGGACGTGCCCGACCTAAGAGTAGCGGTATTTTGTCCCCCTTTGACGGTGATCTTTTGGGTGAATCAGAGCCTTTACATTCTTGTTTGCCCCGGCTTTGCTGCAGTCGCTTCGATAATGGGTGGGGGAGGGGGTGGAGGCGCGATGGGGATGGGGATGGATTGGAGGGGCTTGGCGGGGATGGAGATGGGCAGGTTGAGAGAGGGAGTGGATGGGGATGGGGAGGTGGAAGGAGGGGATAGGTACTGGGGTGGGTGGGATGTAGAAGGTAACCTGCGCGGCCGTGAAGATAGCCATGATCCGCACTTGTCTCCCTCCTCCACCTCCTCCTCCTCGTTCTCTTCCTCATCCCCCCTCTCTTCCAGCATCCCCCTTCCTTCCTTCTCCTACTTTGCTCGTATTCCTCCTTGTCATCCTCCCCCTCGGTCTCGTCGTCCTCCTCGTCCGCGTCCTCCTCGTTGTCACCCCGCGCGGTGGGCGAGTAGGAAGAGCGGGAGGAGGAGGGGAACCCAGCATGCATCAACGATGCTGCATTGTGACCTCCCGTCCCGCATCCCCTCTTCGTAAGTCCCTGCAACAGCTATTCAAACACGTGGAACGTCTGCCTGTGAGACAACGACATGTAAGCCTGCATTTCTGGCGAGAGCCTCGTGTTGAAAAGCGCCAGACCTCCATCTCTTTGGCTTTACAAGGCGCGCGGTGTGACCAGACGTGTCAAGGACATGTACAACGAGAGCCCCCTTTTAGTAAGGAGCAGCCCTCCATCTGTAGAGTTGCTGCGAATGTTCAGCTTCGGACCATCAACATTTAGGATGTCTTAGGCGAGAGCAGCATGTGTACAAGGAGCCGACCTCCGTCGGTGTAGCCCTTGTTCAAGTGAAAGGTGAAAGTGTCTCGCCTTCCATCCGTGCAAACACTGCGTACGTTCAAACTTCTGGTCATCATCGTTAGGGAAGTCTTCAGCGACTGCCAACGTTTGAGGATGTGCCGACCTCCACCAGTGTAATTGTTGGACGCTCCCCAGATACGTACACGCGGCGCTCACTCGAGAGCTACACTGAAAACATCCGCCCTTCATCCGGTAGCTGCTGTAAGCTTTGAAGACGAACGTGCGTGGCGCTAAGGCGAGAGCCACATCTTGAAAGCCAGCCGCCCTCCATTTGCTCAGCCCTCTGAAGCTGCAAGGACGAACGCGCGCGGCGCTGCTGCGAGAGCCGCATTTTGAACGAGTGCCGCCCTCCATTCCTGCAGCTGTTGGACATCTCGAGCTTCAGGATCACATGTGGTGAGGAGCTATCAGACGAAGCGCCGGATCTCCGGAAGGCTCTGTAGAAAGGAGGGCGTTTTTTTGTGTTTTGTTTTACCAGCCCTCTTGTGTGCTGGGTCCTCGTTTTGAATTCGCAGCGCCGCGCGTCTCCTCTACAATTACTCAATATGAAAGCTACTCTCCCTCTTCCCCCGATGGCGGCCTGAAAGTAGCCGACCCCCCCCCCGCGTACTGTTTTTTTACACAGGATTCCCGGGAGTTGGGTTTTCGCTTGCGTTTTTTTTTTTTTTTCAAAATGCTGCTCTCGCTGAGGCGCCGGCCTCATTTCTGCTCCCGAATCGTTCCGAATCGTGCTCCCGCTGCAGCGTGGGCCTCATTTTCGGATCGGTGTTTGGCCTCCGTCGTTCAGGATGGCGTTCTCGCCCCAGCGCGGGCCTCTTTCTCGCGCGCCCATCCGCCCGCCACCACCGCGCCGCACCACCACCACCACCACTCACCACCACCACCACCACCACCACCACCACCACCACCACCACCACCACCACCACAACCACCACCAGCACCACCACCACCACCAGCACCACCACCACCACCACCACCACCACCGCTACCACCACCACCACCACCACCGCCACCACCACCACCACCACCACCACCACCACCACCACCACCACCACCACCACCACCACCACCACCACCACCACAACCACGCACGCACGCACGCACGCACGCACGCACGCACGCGCACCACCACCCACTACGCACGCGCGCGCGGAGCCACAGGTCCGCTACGACACGCGTCCGCGGATAGAGAAAATCAGTGCCATGGGAAGGGATGGGAGGGAGGGGTAGGACGTCAGATATCACGCGAGCGCACCTAGCTTGCCTCTCCCCCTCCCCCTCCCCCTCCTCCCTCCTCTCATGTTCCTCCTCACTCTACGTTTCCTCATCCTCCCATTCCCACTTCACATCACAACCACCACCATCATTATCACCAAAATCGTCATTCTCATTATAGTTTCGGCATAGGGAGCTCTACCGAAGGCTCCAGTGGCAGGGCCCACATGCGTACTCGGGTCCATCTGGGCACACCCCTCATAAATTTCACGGCCTCATAGGGAGCTCCACCGAAGGCTCCAGTGGCAGGGTCCGCATGCGTACTCGGGTCCATGTGGGCACACCCCTCACACGTTTCGTGGCCCCATAAGGAAGCTCCACCGAAGGCTCCCGTGGCAGGGTCCGCATGCGTACTCGGGTCCATTTGGGCTCACCCCTCACACGTTTTGTGGCCCCATAGTGGGCTCCACCGAAGGCTCCCGTGGCAGGGTCCGCATGCGTACTCGGGTCCATCTGGGCACGCCCCTCACACGTTTCGTGGCCCCATGGGGAGCTCCACCAGAAGCTCCAGTGGCAGGGTCCGCATGCGTACCCAAGGTCCTTCTGGGCACACCCATCGCGGTTTGCGGCCCCATAGCGAGCTCCACCGGAGGCTCCAGTGGGAGGGTCCGCATGAGTATTCGGGTCCATCTGGGCTCATCCCTCACACGTTTCGTGGCGCTGCAGGGGGCTCTACCGAAGGCTCCAGTGGCAGGGTCCGCATGCGTACTCAGGTCCGTCTGGGCACAACCCTCACACGTTTCGTGGCCCCAAAGGGGGCTCCACCGAAGGCTCCAGTGGCAGGGTCCGCATGCGTACTCGGGTCCATCTGGGCACACCCCTCACACGTTTCGAAGCCCCATAGGTAGCTCCACCGAAGGCTCCAGAGGCAGGGTCCGCATGCGTACTCGGGTCCATGTGGGCTCATCCCTCACACGTTTCGTGGCCCCATAGGGAGCTCCACCGAAGGCTCCCGTGGCAGGGTCCGCATGCGTACTTGGGTCCACCTGGGCTCATCCCTCACACGTTTCGTGGCGCTGCAGGGGGCTCTACCGAAGGCTCAAGTGGCAGGGTCCGCATGCGTACTCGGGTCCACTTCGGCGCGCCCCTCGCACCCCAACGAGCTCTTGTGCATCGAGCGGTCCTCTGGATAGTTTCCACGCGCGTAGAAGGGGTTTAATTCTTCGCCAGTTTTTTGTTTGAACATGGCAGGTTTCACACTGTGAAGCGAGGAGGGAGCGTGTGGTGGCCGCACCGCTCTGCGCTTCGAAGGTGCTCAAGCTCCGAGGCCCCACGGGTTTTTCGCGCGAGTCCGCGTGCGGATGGAAGGCCTCATCGGGGTCCGCCGCGCAGGAGACGAGCTGGAGTTTCGCCGCGGCGGCAGCTGCCTGGGCAGCCAGTGCCCCGCCTGCGTGCCGCGTTCGGCGTGCGAGCGCCATCGTGCTCCGCGGCTCGCTCGCCACAGTGGTTCGGGTGCCGAGCCCACCGCCGCGCGAGATGACTGCGGCGGTGACGGCGCACCCGATCACGGCCTGCGGCCTGCAGGAGGGCGACTTCATTCTCCTCGAGTGCATCGGGCACCCTGGCGTGCTGTACTGGCGGCTCATCGTGCTCGCGCCCCCGTCGACGGCGCTGGTGTGCACGCTCGCGCTCAAAGACGACCTCTAGAAACGAGATCCGTTCGACGGGGTGGACGTGCGGTGCTGGCTGCCGTGCGATGGCGGCCGTACGGGGGCCTACCCAACCGCTGCGGCAGGCGCCTACGTGCACGGCTTCCGCGGCGTGCCCTCGCTGGGAATGGTCGACCAGGCGATTCGCGCCGCCGCTCGGCTCGGCTCGGCGTGCTGCTCGCGCCCAGCGCCGTGGTGGTTCCCGGCCTCCTCGGCCTTGGCCCTGCGGCCGTGATCGTGGTGGCCGTGCCTTCCGCGGCGCCGCCCGCTGCCGGCGCCCCGTTGCGGGCTTGGGCAGCCGCGCCGGCAGTGGCCAGGTCGGCCGGCGGAACCGCGGGCGGGGGCGCTGGCTTGGTGGCAGCGCAGGCGCTGCCCGCCGCGGGCTTGGCCGCCGCCGCGGCGCCCGCGCCCCCGCCTCCCCTGGGCCAGGCCTCGCCCCCAGCGGTGGGCCCAGCCCTGCCAGCCGCGGCCGCGGCTGCTCCCGTGGCGGGGGCGGCGATTGCGATCAGTGCTGGGTGTTGGCTGGTGCGTCCCAGCGGCCGCGCAAGCCTGCGCACGCTCGCGCGCGCAGCGGCCAGCTAGTTTGGCGCGACCGACGCGGCCGCGGTGGCGCTGACCGCTGGGCACTTCCCAGCGGGCGCCCCAGTCCGAGTCGGCGATTTGGGCGGGCGTGGTGTCATGGCAACGTCTGCAAGCATAGACACGGTGATGATAGGTGCGATGCTGAAGACGATGGTGACAACGACGACGGCAAGGCCAGCGACGGCGCCGATGCTGATCACGCCGGCGACGTTGACGTCGTCTTCGCGTCGGTGATGAAGGTTTTTGAAGAAGTTCGACATGCGCGCGTGGCCGACGCGCGAGAGTGGCCCGCATTGTGTTAGTTGACAGGGGTTGTGTCCCCCCCAAAAAAACGCGCGCAAGGGTTGTCGAAGGATTTCGGCATGCGGTGCGACAAGACTGTTTGGCAGAACGTAATGGACATTTCGAAGAGCCGATGGTTGTTTAAGGTTTCTCGAGAGCGCGAGCGCATTCTTCCTCGAAAACTGATGTTGTACAACCTACGTGTTGCTTGGATGCTTTCGGGTGTGACATCCGTACGACACTGAAGCTTTTTGAAGGACTCCCGCGTGCACTTCGCCCGTTTTTTTTTGCAGAGGGTTCATGCGGCAGCACGCGCACAAACGGCTTTCGGACGATGTCAACATGCGCGCGCGAGAGGCACACGTTTGGCCGCATTTTATGAGCAGGTTGCAAGCCGATGGTTCTCTTCAGAATCCGCCAGAGCGCGAACACACGTCTTTTTGAGTATTCTGGTTGCGAAATCATGTGTTGTTTCACGCTTTCGGGGCATTCGGTTTTGAAGCTTTTTTTACACAACCTTTCTGATGTTTGCAAGACTTCGGCATGCGCGAGCGACGGCGCCCGCATGTGCATATCGTTTTTGTTAAAAAAACAAAACGCAGAAAAAAGGTTTGCCTGGGATGGTGCGAGCTCAATTTTAGGATGGGCGATGGGGTAATGATCGCATGTACGTTGCAACACGAGAAAGTGATGCGTTAACCCAGGGGGCGGGAGGTCGATCCGAGTTTTTATCGAAAGGAGAACCCCGTTGGCGGCGACGGGGCGGCGACGGTGGCAACATAGCCGCCAAACCGACCGACACGCCTTGACGACGGGCGGCGACGAGGGGGCGACAGGGTTGACAGACAAGCCAAGACGACAAGCGGCGACGAGGCAGCGACGGGGCGGCGACGGTGGCAACATCGCCGCCAGACCGACAGGCATGCCCAATTCCACAGTGACAAGTGAAATCCCCTCAGTGCAAACACTGTTTGGGGAATCTATAGAGTTCTCCTTCTCCCTCTCTCTCCACGGTGGTGCGCCGTGGCACGTACCCCCCGAGGATTCCCATGGTTTCGTACCGTACCGGTCACATCAGCTGCCGCCGGCGACACGGCACACCCTCCTCCCCCTATTCTCGGGGTTTCGCGCCCGGCACGTCGGTTGCTTCCGACGACCCTAACCCCCCCCTGTGGGAATGGGGGGTGGATCCCGCCCTCCCATTGAACATAGGGGGCGGGTCTCCCTGTGGGCGTTGGGGGCGTGTCTCCTTTCGATTGTCGGGAGAATTGTTTCGAAGATCCCCGAGCGAGTCCTGGTGGATTCCTCAAGATTTTTGAAACATTCTTGAGGTTCTCGCCTGAAGGGTTTCTCAGGGTTCCTGGAATTTCCAGCAGGAGATTCCGGATTCCTGCGCGACTTTGACAAATTTTTCATGGATGCTAAGGATTCGCAAGGGATTCCAGAGGATTCCGGATGGGATCTGGAGGAACCCTGAGGATTCTAGAGCCCGCGTAAGCTCCCTACGGGTGCTCCCACACCCTCCGGAAGGTTCGAGCATCCCGGACGTTCCGAACATCCCATGGGTTTCCAAAGTCTCGGGAGGGTCGTACTGGCCCGCACTGGCAGTGCCTGCAGGGTTTTCCCAGGGATTTCGTACCAGCCCGCATCGGCGGTGCCGCCAGCACGAACGCCCCAGGATGAACGATCCCAGGGGGTCGCTCTGCACAGGGCACCGCCGACATGCAGGTATGCATGTGCATGTGTATATACACACATATATATACATATTCCCTACCTAGGCTCTGCCTAGAGGGTTCTTACTCTCTTAGCTTAAAGGGGCCGGGCAGTGGAAAGCGCTCCGGGCGGTTCCCCCAGTCCCCGCCCCGCGGTTCCCCCAGTTGCGCCCCCTGGGTTCACCCAGCTTAGCTTAGCTCCAGCTTAGCTTTAGCTTAGCTTGAGCTTAGCTTTAGCTTAGTTTTAGCTTAGCTTTAGCTTAGCTTTAGCTTAGCTTTAGCTTGGCTTCAGCTGAGCTTTAACTTAGCTTTAGCTTAGCTTCAGCTTAGCTTCAGCTTAGCTCTAGCTTAGCTTTGCTTAGCTCTAGCTTAGCTTCCGCTTAGCTCAGCTTAGCTCTAGCTTAGCTTTAGCTTAGCTCTAGCTTAGCTTCAGCTTAGCTTTAGCTTAGCTTTAGCTTTTCTCTAGCTCAGCGTTAGCTTAGCTTCAGCTTAGCTCTAGCTTAGCTTCAGCTTAGCTCTAGCTTAGATTTAGCTGAGCTTTACCCTAGCTTTAGCTTAGCTTCAGCTTAGCTTTAGCTTAGCTTCAGCTTAGCTTCAGCTTAGCTTTAGCTTAGCTCTAGCTTAGCGTCAGCTTAGCTTCAGCTTAGCTTTAGCTTAGCTCTAGCTTAGCTTCAGCTTAGCTTTAGCTTGGTTTCAGCTTAGCTTCAGCTTAGCTTTAGCTTAGCTTTAGCTTAGCTCTAGCTTAGCTTTAGCTTAGCTCTAGCTTAGCGTTAGCTTAGTGTTAGCTTAGCGTTAGCTTAACTTTAGCTTAGCTTCAGCTTAGCTCTAGCTTAGCTTTAGCTTAGCGTTAGCTTAGCTTTAGCTTAGCTTTCGCTTAGCCTTAGCTTAGCTTTAGCTTAGCTTTAGCTTAGCTTTACCCTAGCTTTAGCTTAGCTTTTTCTTAGCTTTAGCTTAGCTGTTACTACTTACGCCGCTTTCCTAGGGGCTCCAACTCCTAGGTAGGGTCGCACTGGGATAATTTATATTTACATCGGCAAGAACAGGGACTCGTGCCCGAAAGGCAGGAGAGCTACACGTTCACCGGGGAGGGTCGGGCCCTCCAGCAGGGAGGAGGGGAAGGAGGAGGAGGAGGAGGGGGGAGGAGGAGGAGGAGGAGGAGGAGGAGGAGGAGGAGGAGGGAGGAGGAGGAGGAGGAGTCGAGCGGCCGCAGCGGCGGTGGTTTGTCGCCCCGAAGGTGGAGGCGGAGCAGTTCACCGAACTCATGTTTGGCCTGCAGTCGAAGGCGCTGCAGCACCTCTTCTTCGCGGAACGGGCCGCCCAGAAGGTCCAGGGTCCAGGGGGTCCTGCGCTTGTCGTCGTCGTCGTCGTCCTTCTCCTCCACATCCCCCTCCCTCCTCCCTCGTCTCTCCTTTTCCCCATCGCTGGTCGTCGTCGTCGTCGTCCTCCTCCCTCTCCTGCTCCTCCTCCCTCCCTCCTCTGCGTCGCCTCCTTGTAGCTAGCGCTCCTCCCCGTCGCACCACCAGACGTGTCGGCAGGGCGGTCCGGGTGCTCGGCCTCGCCTGTCCTCGAGGCACGTGGCCGTCTCCAAGGACTCGGATAGGGGGCAGCCGAGGCGTCGCCCGGTGCCCGCCCGTGGGCGCCTCGTGGGCGCCTCGTGCGCTGGGTGGGTCCGCCGAGGTTCCGCGGCGGGGAGGGAACGCCCACCTGCTCCATCTCCTCCTCCACGCCCCCTCTTGAAGCACATTCCCACACCGCATGTTCAAGCCACCTTCCGAAATGACCATTTTATGAAACCCCGTCTCTGAAATCCACAACCTTACTCCTTGATCTAGCTCGCGGGTATGTAGTTGCAGTGCATTTATATGCACTGCATAGCTTGCACCTGCACGGCATAGCGTACACCACACATCGTACACATCACGCACCACATGGATTGTACCACATAGCTGACACCACGAAGCTTGTGCCACAAATCTCACACATCCAAGGTGCAATTCCTCACTGCTTGCGGTTCGCGCTGGCAGACATTATGGTTATGGAGTTCGTTGTTTTGGGAGCTGCTCTCGCGTCACCCTTCCACAACTTCACCGACCACAAGCTTCAACGCATGTAGTAACTGCAAGGATGTCGAGCGGTTTCTTTCCAACGCGGGGCTCTCACGGGAGATGTCTTCAAATCCAACGACCAGAAGCAACCATGCTCGCAAGAGCTCCACGGGTGGGGCTGCTTTCTCATTCGACCGGGCTCTCGCTGGCCTCGTGGCGTGTTGTATGGTTGCTCGTACTGTTCCGCATTTCTCACAAGTCGTCGGCATGCCAGGCTGTTCCTTTTCGCCTTCCACTGCGTATTGCTTTCCATTCGCCGCGACGGCGCAAGGGTACAAGGCAGCTAGTTCCTGCCCGACTCGGAACTACCGCTTGAATGGAAGGCCTCTACGGTGCTGGTCTTTCAGGGGGGCGCCTGTTGAGGTAGAAAGGAAAGCTCGCAGGGAATGTTGACGACGGGACTTTGGGCGGGAGGGCGTATTGCAGCAACAAAGCAGGGTGCTCGTCCTTCAAGGTGGCTCTTCTTGCAGTGCCTCTTCCTCGCTCATCTTCCGTCCCCCCTCACCTCCTCTCCCTTCCTCCTTCGCATTCTCATCCTTCTCGCCTCTCCCCCCTCATGCGCTCATCGTCGTCGTCGTCCTCCTTCTGCGCTCGGCGTTGTCGTCGTCTCTCGCCGCCTTGTCCTATTCCTCTCTTCCTCTCCTTCTTCCTTCTCCCTCCTCCTCCTCCTCCTCCCTTTTTCACTTCTCCCTCCTCCTCCTCCTTCTTGTCCCTCCGCCTCCTCCTCCTCCTCCTCCTCCTCTTCATCCTCTTCCTCTTCCTCCTTCTCATCCTCATCCTCCCTCTCCCCTCCTCCCCCCTCTTCTTCCCGCTTGCTCTTCCTGGCCTCCTCGAGCGCGTGCAGGGGTGTCCGTGCGGGGTGCCGATGGAGCAGCAGGAGGAGTTGCAGGGGGATGAGGACGAGAGAAGGAGAAGGAGGAGGGTGGATGATGGCGAGGGGGGGGAATGAGACGGATAAAGAAGGAGGGGGAGGAGGAGGAGGAGAAGGATGTGATGATGATAGTAATGTAGCTGATGCTGATGCTGATGATGATGGTGGTGATGATGCTGCTGATGATGATGGAGCTCATGATGATGCTGATGACGATGCTGATGCTGATGATGATGCTGATGATGGTGATGATTACCATGATGATGGCCATGCCGACCATGCGGTTGATGCTGTTGATGATGATGAGGATGCTGATGCGCATGATGGTGATGGTGATGTTGCTGATTGTGGGGACGATGATACTGCTGATTGTGGTATGATGATGTCGATGATGGCGATGCCGGTGATGTTGCTGACGATGATGACGATTGTGTCCATGCTGCTGATGATGCTGACGATGCTGATGATGATGATGATGATGCTGATGATGATGAAGATGCTGATGATGATTATGATGCTGATGATGCTGATTATGATGCTGATAATAGTGGTGGTGATGATGATGGTGGTGATGATGACGATGCTGATGATGCTGCTGATGCTGCTGATGCTGATGGTGATGATGCTGCTGATGATGGTGATGGTGATGCTGCCACTGCTGCTGCTGCTGATGATGATGATACTGATGGTGATGCTGATGATGATCTGATGATGCTGCTGATATTGATGAGGACGATGCTGCCGCTGCTGCTGCTGTTGATGATGCTGATGATGACGATGACGATGATACTTACGAATATGATGATTATATTGATGATTCTGATTATGGTGATGATGATGGTTGTGATGATGAGCACGATGACGATGACGATGATGATGATGATGATGATGATGATGATGATGATGATGATGATGATGATGATGATGATGATGACGAGGATGCTGATGATGCTGATGATGATGATGATGATGACGATGACGATGACGATGACGATGGTGATGATCATGTTTCTGTTGATGGTGATGGTGATCATGATGAGGAGGAGGAGAAGGAGGAGGAGAAGGAGGAGGAGAAGAGGAGGGAGAGGAGGAACCTGGCTGGCGTGTCCTCTGTGCCCTTCTGGGCCCACTGTCTTTGTCTCTGCCTCTTGCGCCTGTCACGTGTTTTGCTTCGTCCGCCAGGCTTAATAAGTTCATCGCTGCGCTAAGTTGTCCACCAGCAGGAGGACTCGAGACTCCAATGACTCCGCCGAGAGTTGAAGGAGCCACGAAATTATTGGAAAACGCGGCTAACCTACAGCTGCGTGGAAGTCACCACTTAGGGGAATCCCAGTACGCGGGTGACATTTGGCCTTTAATGAATTCTTTAGGGCCGTTGATCTGAGCCGACTGGACTCCCAAGTAACTTGGCCAGTGCACCAAGCCATTAGTACAGGGGACTGCCGGGTGGAGGCTGATCCCCCACATCTCAGACAATAAACAAGAGGGCCCTCGGTGACCATGTGGTGGCCACGGAGGAGCTCAAAGGGCGCAGGCTCGGCACTAGACACAGTAACAGCCTGCCCAAATAGAATTGTCGGCACCACTAGACACAGTCGGCACCTGGGGTTCCGACGGAACCCCACTCAAGAAAATGCTGCCCGTAGACTGCCCCTGTACGCCAGCCTCGGGCCCCAAGACCCTGTCCGCCGCCCGCAACGCAATCGCGATGGCGTCCGCGCGCGCTGTCGGCAGCGGCGCAGCAGCAGCAGCAGCGGAGGAGGAGGAGGAGGAGGAGGAGGAGGAGGAGGAGGAGGAGGAGGAGGTCGAATACGGGAGGCGAGCCCTTGCACGGGCCATCAGTTTCTGCAGGGCGGAGGGCGCGCACTCCGTGCGCTCCACGCGCCTCCACGCGGCCTCGGAGGACGCCGAAGCAAGGCAGAACGCACATTGCCAGCTCGCAGGCTTGCGAACCAGCTGGTGGCGCTGCTGCACCAACTGTACAGGTGCAGTGGGGGCGGACGGCCTCATCCTCTTGAGCACAAGCTCCCTGGTGTCGTCCATCGTGGTGCCGATCGCAGCCATGAGCCACGCGAAAAGGCGAGTCTCCTCCTTTGCATCGGACATCTTGATGCGGCACAGGTCGTGCAGCGCGCGCGGCAACACGTGGCCCTGGGCGCCGACCTTCGCGAAGAAAGTCGGCCCATGCGTTGCCGTAGAAGTCGTTGACGTCGTGCCGGCCACCGCTGAACAGGTAGTGGTGGGCGTCCCTGTGCGCCGGGCACCAAGTGACCCCAGGTCGGGGCTGCTGCTCCGCGACGTGGAAGACCTTGCGCCAGATGTCCGCGTACTGGCCGCGCGAGCCGGCGAGGTCCTCGCGCCACTCGTCGATCTCCGCGGCGAGGGAGGCCAAGTCCGTGATCACGTGAGTGACGTACGGCATATGCCTCAAGAGCTGCAGGAAAGCCCAACGCTCCGCCCGCCCCACCGCCTGTCGTCGCCCAGGCAGGGCGCCGTAGGTGGCACGCATGGGCAAGTTGTTGGCACTCATCTGGACCACCGCCCAGCCGCACCTGCAGAGTTCGGGTCAGGAAGTGTCGTAGCCAGACCTGTCGCTGTAGGCCACCGTGCTTCGCCACCCGGCGTGGGAGCTCCAATCTCCCCAGAAGTGGATTTCCGCCTCCATCGCAGGCGCGGGAATGTCGTAAGGGACGAGCGGGAGGCCGACCACCATGTCAAATTGGTCGTAGCTCTGATCCCCGAGGCCAGTGGAGACCCTGTTCATCATGCGCTCGCGCACCTTCGCCCCCTGCTCGCTGAGAGCCTCGAGCTGACCCCCGTCGTAGTCGTCGCCCTGCGCCAGGACGTGCGGGCAGCCAAAGAACTGGTGACCTCGCGTGCACGCAACCTCGCCAGGGCAAAATGGGCAATGTGGGCTGGCGACGTATCCCATTTCGTGACGCTTGGCAAGATCCCAGGAGGCGCCGGCCCAGAGCTTGCGAAGCTGGCCCGCACGCGCGCCTGCCAGCGCCGCCGAGGGGGGCGCCAGCACGCGCCGCATGGCACGGTGCCAAAGCGTTGCCCCAGCAGGTGCCAAGTCATGATGGCTTAGGATCTGGCGCCCTTGCCAGCGGCGGACGCCGTTCCTCACGCGGTGGTCGACGTCCTTGGGAGGCGTCTGCAGCAGCTCCACCATGTCGCCCAAGTCCGTGACGAGGATGAGGCTCGACTGCATCGTCCAGCCAATCCTGAGGAGGCTCATCCAAGCAGCTGCCAATGGCCCACGCAAGCCCGCCCACGTGGGCTTGCTGTCTAGCCAGGAGCGCTCGAGCGCTTGCTGTCCACCAGCAGGAGGAAAAGGAGGAAGAGGAGGAGGAGGAGGAGAGGAGGAGGAGGAGGAGGAGGAGGAGGAGGAGGAGGAGGCGGAGGAAGACACCTCGGAGGAGGAGGAGGAGGCGGAGGAAGACACCTCTTCTTCCCGCTCGACGCTCCGACTCCGACACGAGGTGCCGGGCCTCACCGCCAAGCCAGCCCCCATCAAGAAGGTCGGCATCCTGGGCGCGGGGCTGATGGGCGGCGGCATCGCCATGTGCTTCGCGGAGAAGGCCGCGGGAGGGAAAGCCAACGCCAACTTTTCTGTATCTGGCAGTGCTGGGAGGAGGAGGGAGATGAGGAGGAGGAGGAGGAGGAGGAGGAGGAGGAGGAGGAGGAGGAGGAGGAGGAGGAGGAGGAGGAGGAGGAGGAGGAGGAGGAGGGAGGAGGGGGAGGAGGAGAAGGAGCGGAGGAGGAGGAGGAGGAGGAGGAGGAGGAGGAGGAGGAGGAGGAGGAAGAGGAGGAGCGAGGAGCGAGAAGCGAGGAGGAGGATGAGGAGGAGGTGGAGAGGGAGGAGGAAAAGGAGGAGGATAAGGAGGAGGAGGAGGAGGCGGGAGGCTGATGATGAGGAGGAGGAGTGATGAGGATGAGAAGGAGGAGTAGGAGGCCCTCCTTCTCAGAAGGAGGAGGAGGAGGGAGGAGGAGGAGGGATGCGCCAGGATACCCCTCTCTCTCTATATATATAGGTACACACATACACATGCGTATGTATACACACATCCATACATACTTGCATGTATACATACATACACACATCAACCATACACATACATGTATAAACATATGCAACCAGCCACACATACATACATACCTTCATACATACACGCACATCCATACATACATACACACATCCACACGCACACGCAAACATACCATCCGGCACGCATGCATACATAGACGCATGCAAACATACAGCCGTACACACATATACATGCACACACATCTATACACATACACGTATTCATGCATGCATGCACAGACATACATATCTGTATGCATACATTCATACGTAGACACATACACGCATCCATCAATCCGTCCATACAAGCATACATACACACATACATGCACACACACGTACATGTATCCATAGATCCAGGGACACTTACATGCACAGACTTGCATACATACATATATGGATTCATGCACACAAGCATATTTACTTACATTACCACATGCGTGTACACATACATATGGCTACATGTGCATTCACACATCCGTATATGTGTATGTGTATATGCCGACTGGCTGTCTTGCTCGTTCATCCATCTCACAGGTTATCAGCCGTTCTTGCTTTGCCCTCTGGGGCATGTGACCATCGTTGCGTCTTTGCCAATTGTGAGTTGTGCAGCGCCAGTCGAAAGACGGCGCAATAGCCTCAGATGATGGGACGGTCCGTTATCAGTATGCTGTCTCCCAGCAGTCTTATCGAACTTGATACCTTACATTTTATTTTCAAGGGAAGGCGTCGGAATACGACCTATGCAAAACATCATCCCTCACATAAGTTGACACACAGGTTGATGATCATCGTGCATTTCTGAAGCCTGGAGTGGCTCACGCGATACGTTCTACGCTGTCCAGTTGGTCAGTTGTTATCATAACTTCGATCTTGATACCGATTGAATTCGAGCCTGAACTGTCTCTCGATATGTCCCCCATTCTCATTGTTCCGCCCCACCCTACCCCCTGTAGAATGGCGCCGGCGCAGGGCGCTTGGCCGCAGGACACCCCACAGAAACGCGTGCGCTTTGAGGGTCATGCGTAGCGAAGTGAGAGAAGAGGACAACTAAGAGGACAACAGCGGGCGTCCTCACCGGCCTGGCCTGAGACATCTTCCACGGCCCCCCTTACGACGCATGGGTGGCGGAAGCAGGCAGAAGATGAAAACAACCTGGCCGGGCAGACCTCGCAGCGACAACATTCCAAGATAGGCGGTGGTGGAGAGGCATCAATATGGGAACCCGTGGGTAAGAATACTGAACATCTGACGTGTGTGCGTGACGTCAAAATAACGTGGGCATAGGTTGGATTGCCCGCTGCGCAATGTGTTCTAGCTCAAAATGCGCGCCTGACGGGAGCGACCGGAAAAGGAAAGCAGGATTGCGAGAGCGCGCGCGAGCTCGAGCGCGTCGACGCGCGCCTCTCGACGCACACCTGTGGGGGGGGGGGGGGGGCAAGACAAAGGAAGAGAACGGAGGAGAGGAGGAGGAGGAGGAGGAGGAGGAGGAGGAGGAGGAATAACATGTCGATGTGTACCTGCGGGGAAGCGGAGCGCCACTGGGTTCCTCGAGGCTCAATTGCCCTGAGGAACGGGAACGCCGACAATGCCGCCGGCCCCCCCCCCAACACGAAACCACGCGAGAGAGGAAAAGAAGAAAAGGAAAGGAGATACAGGAAGTATCGCCTCCGCCCAAGATGGGTTGCTCTTAAATTATTGGGGGCGTGCCGGCCCCGCCCAACATTGGCTGCTCTTATCGACAAGGGCCGGGCTCCGGCCACCCCGAGCATGTTTTTTAATGCTCCGTGGTGAGAGGTGCCTGTTGGCGGGGCTGTGACCCCCCCCGCAGAGGTTCGTTATTTGCAACAAGAAGAACGGGAAAAAGAGGAAGGGAACGGACCCGACTCCAGAGAGACGCGGGGACGTGAATTCCAACGGCCCCCAGAGGCAGCGGGACCAGAAGAGAGGAGGGGGAAGGGAGAAAGGGGGAAAGACCCCCCCGTAGAGGGACATCCGTGCCCATACGTCGATACGTTGCAAGAGAAGAATAGAGATTTGCACGGAACTGCAGCGGGGTCCACCGCGAGGACTCAACCTGTCGCTGTGGATGTTGCGAGCGCTATGAAGAAGAGTAATCTGAATGTGACTGTGACAACCATCAGCCACAAAACATATCAGAAGGTCATGGGTCAGCTGCGGGCACCTATAGGCCCCCGCCATCGACGTCTCGGAATCGCCAGCGCGTGCAGGGTAGACCTGGCCCTTGCTTGCCTGGTGCGATGTGCACCGTGCGATTTGCGTGCGGTCCATACGGGCAAAGACTTCCTCAACGCGAGCCTTTTGAGCATCTCTGATTATCGAGTCTCTTTTCGAGCCTGGGAGAGGTGACGCATGCGTTCTGCATGAGGCCCACCGCATGTGAGGGCGAAATCGTAAACCGAATTCGGGTAGGGGTGGGTATATTCTGACTGGCTGTCTTGTTCGCTCATCCTATTCACGTGTTGAGCTCTCTTGGAGGCCACTTGAAGCGCTCCTGGAGCGCTCGTGGGAGCCTGCTGGGACCTGGCCGGGACCTGCCCGGGACCTGCCCAGGACCTGCCCGGGATCGTGCCGGGACCTTGGTGGGATTTTTTTTTTTTTTTTTTTTTTTTTTTTTTCTCGTCCGGGGACCCCCAGGGGCGGCCCCGCGCGCGCGAATCAGAAATATTGCTAATCAGTCGCCCGAGATCTTAGCACGCCCTTGGCCCGTTGGGCCTGCGACTTTTGATGGTGCTCGCTCCACCCTAGCACCTTTTCGAGCAACCGTGTTTTGTACATGTTCCTATGTTTCTTCATTTTCTGCTTACCCATATCTTTCTGCTTTCTGGGCGCCCCACCCTAACCCCATCCGATCATAAGGCGTCACAGAAGGATTTTTGTTGTAAGGTTCCAGACATCTCAGGCGTCGGCGTCGAGGCCCCGACTGGTTTTCGGAAGGGGAAGCGTGGGGCAATTTTGGATGTTGTTTCAATCCTCGACGGTGGCCGTGTCCGGTGGGCTTCCTGGGATCCGCCCCCCTTCCGTGGTGAACCATTCTCGTCGCAGAGGGGGTTTCCTGGGAGCGGCTGCGGCCCTGCACACAGGGCCCCCGATTTCGCCACTTGTCCAAGCGGGATATCAACGTGGCCCTCGGCGCCTCTTGCACAACCATCGCGCAGCCGATCGGGCCATTCGAGGATACGCCCCCCCGTGTGCCAACACGAAAAGGATATCCTCCCTCTGCCCGATGTGCCTGTGGCAATGTGGGCCCTGGCGCTCAGCCGTTGGGCGAAGAGTTCCCGGGAGTGTGCTGGGCCCTCGCGTGCCGTGGCCCCCGATGCCGCCGCCCGTGCAGAGCGGCATCAACGTCACCCCCGGCTCCTCTCTGGCCGCCACCGCACCGCTATGGTTAGGTCGGGCCTGTCCCTCTACAGGAGGACTTTTCAAACAGTCACAAAATAGTCGGGGGACGTTTTTGTTTTTGTTTTTTGTTGTTCTTGTTCGTTCTGATTCTGTTTGGTTTATTTGCTTTGTTGTTTTCCCATTTCAAAAATAGTCTTCGTCCAAAATCCGCCTGTCGGGGGACATGCCCGACCTAACGCTACAAGGGCCGTTCGAGGACACCGCGCAAAATTGTACAACTGTGCTCTTTTCGATGGGTCTTTGCCATCCGGTTGTTCCTCTGCTGCCTCAGACAAGTACGTACTCCCGCCGCAGCGTGGGCCTCACCTTCGGATCGGCGCTCCGGCTCCCGTCGTTCAGACTGGCGCTCTCGCTTCGGCGTGGGCATTTTTTTTTGTTTTGTTTCTCTGGACCCGAGTCTTATGATGTTCCAGCTTGCGTTAGCCTTAGTCACCAGAACGACCCCCGAGCACCAAGAAGGCACCACACCTGGAGGGTTTTCATGTGTCGGGCCCTGGGAGGCGACACTCGTTCGACACCGTTTCGACACGTTTCGGGGTGCTCGAGATTATTTCTGGGATGTGGTCCTGAAGTTCGGTGGGAGCCACAAGCCCCTAGTCCCTCCGGGTCGTTGTCGCCCCCCTCCGTTTCCCCTCCTCTGCCTTCCCATGGGTCCTCCCGTGCTCCTCTCGCGCCCTGCGCTCCATTTGTTCCGCTGCTGCTGCTCGCCCTCGTCGTCGTCGTCGTCGTCCTCCTCCTCCTCCTCCTCCTCCTCCTCCACCCCTTTATGCGTATGTCCTTGTCCTCCTCCTCCCTCCTCCTCCTCCTCCTTCCTTCTCCTCCTCCTCCTTGCTCTTCCTCGTCCTCGTCGTCCTCGTCCTCGTCGTCGTCGTCGTCCTCCTCCTCCTCCTTCTTCCTCATCCTCCCTCTTCTCCTCCTGCTCAGCTCCTCCGCCTTCCTCTGGTCTCTTGTTCCCCCCCATTCTCCACTCCACTTCCTGCTGCTTCTGTTCGTCCTGGTCTTCCTCCTTCCTGTTGCTTCTTTTTTTCCTCCTCATGTTCCCTCTCTTCCGGTTGCGCATATCACGATGGGGTCTGTTTTGGAGCTCCAGGTTGGCTATGACACGCGTCCGCGGATGGAGAAAACAATCAGCGCAGCGGGAGGGGATGGGCGGAGGGAATCGGATGTCAGATTTGTCTTGCTTTCTTCCGTTTCCATCCTCCCTCCTCCCTCCTTCCCTCCCCTCCCCCCTTTCCCCCTCGCCCCCCCCCCCCACCACCTCCTCGGTCGGGGCACGCCTGGACGCAGTTGTTCCCAGCGAGGGCAGTCTTTGGGTCCCAATCTGAGCACGGGTGTCCAATTTGCGCGCTTGTCTCGCGAGCGCCCCCCCCCCCCCCCGGACCAAGTCTGACTATCGGCGGCGAGCCCAGGGGGGGGAGGCAGAGGGGGCGACCCTTCTGAGAAGCCCCCTCGGCCTTCTCAGAAGACAGACGGCTTCTCGGGACGCCAGATGAGCGGCTCAAACAAAAGTGCCGACGCCGGCGCGCAAGCTGCCCGCGCAAGGTCGCGCGGGAACGCCCCCGTTTCCGCTGTGATGCGCCGCGCGGGCGGCCCGCGGAAACCGCCGCGTAAGGTCGCCGTGCCATCTCGCGCAAGGACCCCTGTTTGATCTCACCAGTTTGAAGCATATCCCCAGCCCTATGTTTGACAGCACCTCACCCCGATGCTGATCTCAAGGATCCCCTCCGTTTCTGAGGGCCCATACCTGAGATTGCCCTCGCTCTTGGCTCGCCCATCCTAGGGGGATAGGCATCAGTTCGAGGCTGGTTAGGATCCTTGCCCGGCCGGCGTCTGCGAAGCCCCGGCGCCTGCCGAGCAGGCCTGCCCCCCCCCCCCCCCCCCCCGGGCGGGAGGCCTGCCCCCCCCCCCCCCCCCGCCGGGCGGGGCGCGACCGCAGAGGCCCGACCGCGGGGGCGCGCCTCGTGGCCGGGAGAGGCACCGCCACCCCGCGCGGGCGCCAGCTTAAATCGAGCAGTGGCGCAGCGTCCTGGCTGGCCTCTGGCCCTGCGAAACAATGCTCCAGGAGCCTGTTGTGGTTTCCGCGGCATGTTCTGCGAACATTTTTGGTTGGGGCTGTCTTATCATCAAGCAGTGGCGAAGCGTCCGGGCGCGCCTCTGGCCCTGCCAGACAATGCTCCAGGAACCTCTTGTGGTTTCCGCGGCATGTTCTGCGACCATTTTTGGTTGGGGCCGTCTTGGTTTAACACATCGGGTTGATCATGTTCCAAGGACATTGTTTTGTTCTGAGAACATTTTGGGTTCGAAGAACATGTCGTGGTACGACTACAGGAATGCTGGGACGGTCGGTCCCTGCTCAAGGCTTTCGGCCTCCTTTGCAGGGCGTGCCGGTGGTGCTGAAGGACGCCAAGGAGGATCAGCCGCGCGCAGCATGGGGTGGGGGGGAGGGGGGAGGGCTTCTGGGAAGCACCCCTCTGCTTCTTCGGAGGCGCGGGCCTCCTCTGTAGGTGCGAGGCCAGCGCCTCCTGAGAAGCAGGCGATCCTTCCAGGGAGCCCTGCCCCCTCCCTCCACTCCCTGGTGCGCGCCGCCGAGAGGAGTGGTTGAGCGACGGGCTCAAGAAGATCCAGGGGCTCTGGGGGGCCCAGGCGAAGAGGCCGGGGGCGAGCGAACGCGGCCAGCAGGAGGGCCCTGCGTGTCCAAGAGCCAGTCTCATGGCAGGATCAAGTCGGGCCTGTCCCTCTGCAGGAGGACTGCTCACAAACAGTAAAAAAGTAATATGAGGGCAATGTTTTGATTACCGTTTGACAATTTTCGTACATTTTTCGAATATGGTGGATTGTTCGTCGAAGATCCCCCTTTAGACGGACAGGCCCGACCTAACTGTAGGACGCCTCTCGGAGGCCTTAACATCAGTTCTAGAAGCCTCTGGCGGCGTTTCCTAGGGAAAGACCTGGCTCTTGGAAGGAAGCCCTCCTGTCGACACCTTTCCCCCGTCGCTGGCGAGGGGCAAGATTTCGGAGGACAAGTTCAAGAAGTTGATAGACCTCATCAAGCCGACGCTCAAGTACGAGGACTTCTCCGATGTTGACATGGTGATCGAGGCGGTGCCAGAGATCATGGATCTCAAGAAGCAGGTGTTCCTGGACATGGAGAAGCACATGCGCCCAGACGCCTTCATATGCACCAACACCAGTGGCCTCAACATCGACGACATCGCCTCCGTGCTGAAGGACCCCTCGCGGGTGATGGGCTGCCACTTCTTCTCGCCCGCCAACGTTATGCAGCTGCTCGAGAACATCCGAACCAAACATTCCAGCGACCTGACGCTGGCAACCGGCATGGCGATGGGGAAGCTCATCGGCAAGAAGGCCGTCATGGTCGGCAACTGCGACGGCTTCGTGGGCAACCGCATGCTCGCTCCTTATGCCAGCGAGGCCAAGCAGCTCATCGAGGAGGGCGCCGATATCTTGCAGGTTGACGGGGTGGCGACGGACCTGGGGATGGCCATGGGCCCGATTGCGCTGGGCGACCTGGTGGGACTCGAGCTCTTCTGGAAGCAGCGCAAGGCCGCTGGGGACATGAAAAAGCAGACCAAGACCTACATGGGCCCGTATGAGCTCGGCGACTGGCTGTGCGAGAACGGTCGGTTCGGCATGAAGACCCCCGACCCGAAGATCAATGCCACTGGCCGAGGCATTTTCATCCACCGCGGTCGCGACAAGCACGTCGATCCTGAGGTGGTGGCCAAGATAGAGGAGATCAGGAAAGCCAAAGGGGTCACGCCGAGGAAGGTCGAGAACGAGGAGATCATGGAGAGGCTGTTTTTCTCACTGATCAACGAGGGCTTCAAGATTCTCGAGGAGGGCTTCGTGGCCAAGCCGTCCGACATCGACATTGTGTACATCTTCGGCTACGGCTTCCCCCCCGCCAAGGGTGGGCCCATGTTCTTCGCGGAGAACTACGTGGGGCTCAACAAAGTGCTGGAGAGGATCAAGGTGAGGGACCTCAGACAAGCACGGCTGCCTGCGTGGGCACTCACGCGCAGGCTTCCCGCGCGAGGTCGCGCGTGGGCGCCCTCTTTCCCTTGCGGTCTGCCGCTGTCGTCTCCCGCGCGTGCCTGCCGCCTTGGCGACCTGCGTCGGGCATCGCGTGAGGTCGCCGTGCTCCATAGTCAAACCGGTCGGCGGCGAAATCCGAACCCTACCCTCGCCGATCACGGACTCGGGCAACTCGATCGGCGGTGGGGGCAGGGTTCATGCTTCGATGGGTACGTGGCGAACTCCGAGCCCCTACCCTCGCCCATCACGGACTCAGGCAACTCGATCGTCGGTGGGGGCAGGGTTCATGCTTCGATGAACACGTGGCGAAATCCGAGCCCTGCCCCCGCCCATCACGGACTCGGGCAACTCGATCGGCGGTGGGGGCAGGGTTCATGCTTCGATGAACACGTGGCGAAATCCGAACCCTACCCTCGCCCATCACGGACTCGGGCAACTCGATCGGCGGTGGGGGCAGGGTTCATGCTTCGATGAACACGTGGCGAACTCAGGGTTCATGATCCGATCACGGACTCAGGCAACTCGATCGGCGGTGGGGGCAGGGTTCATGCTTCGATGAACACGTGGCGAAGTCCGAGCCCTATGCCCCCCGCCTCCCATGGATTCCGGGGACGGCGGGGCTAGGGTTCGGACGTCGCCAGCTGAGAGGATCAGACGGATAGGTGGCTTTCCAAGGGTGTCCTCGCACCCTTTTGCCTCTCGGCCCAGCCCGGCCCTCGGCCATGGGCCAGGAGCTTTCAACGTGGGCTCAACTGTTGGCGTCCAAGGGCCCTGCCTCGCCACCACGCATCCCTTGGTCTGGTCGCACCGTTGTGCGTCAGCGGTTTGCACCAGAATTCGCCCACCATCGAATCGTGGACCCCTCCCAGGGTCCATGCTGGCCAGCTGTCCGAGCCGAGTCCAGTGGTGGCGACGAGAAGCTCCAGAAACGCCTGGAAACCTCCGAACCAGCGACAGCGACGGCATTCCAAGTCCCACTGCTCGTCGCCTTTTAGGTGTACGCTGCCGCGGCCAAGCAGAGATACACCACGAACCCCGCATACCTGCCGGTGGACTACTTCGAGCCCTCCCAGCTCCTGGAGGCGTGCTCGATGGCGACCGATCCTCTCGGACCGGTCCTGGGTTACCAGCCTGGAACATATTCCTATCCCTATGCTGGGCATCTCCTCATCACGATGCCAATCTTAGGGATTCCCTTATTTTTTGAGGGCGGATCGCTAAGATTGTCATCGCATTTTGGCGTGTCAATCTTAGGGATAGGGATACGTTCGAGGCTGGTTATTGGGGCTCGTTCTGCCCAGGGTGCCCACGAAGGCCCAGCCGTGGCCACGACGGCGCCCACCAGATCTCCGACGACGTGATGATGCTGTTTTGCAGCAAATCGTTGGAGCCTGGTATTCCCTCTGCATTTATCTTTAGCGTCGGCTAGCGTCGATCGGCATCTGGGAGTCGATGACATCGCGCCGATTCAGCGTGGGCTAGCGTCGATCAGCGTCGACTTAGCGTCGGGTTGGCGGCGACGAGGGTCGATTCGCAAGAGCCGGCAAGATGGTATGGCAGGGTCCCAAGAGTCGCCACAGAAGTGATGTTTGATGTTGTTTTCGCTGTAAGGGCTAGACCGGAGTGCTGGGCAGTGACGCGTGAGAGCTTGGCGGGGACTTCGCACGACCCCCGCCGCATCCTTGCTGTGCTGGGCGGGCCCGAGCCCGAGGGCCACGGAAGCAATTGTTACCATGCTGCTCTTGCGCACAAGGAGCTTCGTTTGGTCTTCGCTTGAGCCTGAATCCCCAATCAGCGCTTGCACTGATGAGGTCCTAGAGGAAATTGAAAGATTTGGCGAAAGTGTCCCGCCGATTTTGGTGGCCGGCTGGGTTCTCGGGTTCTCGGGTTCCCAGGCGTGTCCCTCTACAGGAGGAAAATTCCCAAATAGTGCAGAAATAGTCTGGGGACGATGTTTGGGGCATTTTGTTGTTTGCTATTTTGGAGTATTTTGGGGGTGTATTTTTATTTTCCGCGCAGAATCCGCCTGTAGGGGGACATGCCTGACCTAAGTGGAGGGCTGCCTCACCGAAGCAGAGAAAAGCGCAAGCGTCCATGAGGGTCCCGATGCTGGATCCTCGGCCCTCGACCTTCGATGGGCGACGGAGGCGAGAACCGACGAGGTCCAGAGTAGGGAAACAAACAATGACATTAACATCAAAAATACTTGGAGGAGGAAGAGGAGGAGGAGGAGGAGGAGGAGGAGGAGGAGGAGGAGGAGGAGGAGGAGGAGGAGGAGGGGTGGAAGAATCCCCCAGTCGCCCATTCTAGTGGGAACGATCAGTAACATAAACATAAAAAACTCGGAGGTCCGCGCGGAGTTCTCGGATCGGCGCCGGAGCCCCCTGGAGGCGCCTCTGGCGCCGCCCCTGGCGCGCTCCGTGCGCCAGGGAAGGGGTCCCCGTCTTCGTTCCCCCTGCAGAGGCCTCAAGAGGTCTCTGGAGATCCCCGGAGGCCTCCAGAGGCCCAGAGGCCCCTGGAGGTCTCCGGAGGCTGCTGCATTCCCCCCCCGAGGGTACAGCAACGCGCAGAAACCAGGCCTGCGCCGCTCGATCGACGACGACCACGACCACGACCACGACGACTACGACGACCGCGACCACGACGACGACAACGAGCACGACCACCACGACGACCACGACGACCACGACGGCGACGACCACAACGACGCGGACAGGCGTGCGCCGCGGAGGAGGCCAAGGGCACCAAGGCGTGGCCCGGCACCTCGCTGATCGAGATGACGATGAAGAAGTACCGGAAGCAGCAGCAGGCCCCCTGGGGCTCTCTTCGAGGAGGAGGAGGAGGAGGAGGAGGAGGAGGGGGAGGGGGATGATGATGATGATGATGATGATGATGGATGATGATGATGATGATGATGATGATGATGATGATGATGTGATTGATGATGATGATGATGAAGATGATGATTATGGTGATGTGTTGAGAGGAGAGGAGGAAGGAGGAGGAGGGGGGGGAGCGAGGAGGAGGAGGAGACGGGCGAGGAGGGAGGTGGGAGGAGGGAGGAGGAGGTGGGTGGAGGGAGGAGGGAGGAGGGTAGGAGGGAGGAGGATCGGAGGGTAGGTGGGAGGAGGGAGGAGGGGGAGGAGGGGAGGAGGAGGGAGGAGGAGGAGGAGGAGGAGGAGGAGGAGGAGGAGGAGAGATGAGATCAGGAGGAGGAGGAGGAAGAAGAAGAAGAATAATAAGAAGAAGAAGAGGAAGAAGGAGACGAAAACTAATACTAATAATTTCAGTTATATAAATAAGAACAATAATAAGATGAAGAAGACACTGAATAAGAAGCATACGAATAATAATCATAATAATAAGAAGAATACGAATACTACTACTAATAATAATAATAATACTAATAATAAGACTAATCGTACTGCAGGAGAAGAATAACCATACTACGAATAATCATAAACTAAGCAGAAGAAAGAGCCGCCGAAGAAGAAGAATAATACGCAGGCGACCAATAAGAACATACTGACTAATAAGAAGAGCACGAATCATAACACTAGTAATACTACTAATAATGAGAAGACGCAGACGAATAATAATATGGCGAATGCTACTACGACATGTCAGAAGATTATGAATACGAATGATAGTAATACTACTAATACTACTAATGGTAATAAGAAGAATAATGCTACTACGACGAAAGCGAGTACGACGACTACTACGAATACTAATAAGAATACTGATGCCACTAATACTATACTAATCATGATACTAATACTACGGATAAGGCGAACAAGACGAACACTACGACGAATACGACTGATCAGATGAGGAGGAGGAGGAGGAAGAGGAGGAGGAGGAGGAGGAGGAGGAGGAGGAGGAGGATGAGGAGGAGGAGAGGGCGGGAATCGAGGGAGCATCAGGAGTCGGGAGGAGGACATTGTTTTTTGCAGATC